CAGCGCGACCTGATTTTGCTATGATTATCTTTAACGATACAACCAATTACCAATAATTAGGGATCTGCTTTTTGTCGTTAGCACAAGGAAACATTCGTGGTTTCTCTTATTCACATAAAAAAAGAAACTACATCATCAAGACACCTCTGGAACTTGATGTTTTTTCTCATTACGCCATCACGACTATAAAGAAAATGAAAGCTGTATTTTTGCTTCACTCTATCACATAACAATTGGTTCTAAACACAATTGAGAGTGACGGTGAACGAAAGCACATATTCAAGCTGAGCCGAACCTTCGGAAATCCCACGTAACAGCAACTCGTCCCCCGCGAACACAGCTTGATTAGTAAAAGCTCGTATTTAGTACCTGCAGTTTGATCACGTGGTCTCAGGTGTCCCACGTCGGGACGTCTATAGGCATTGCCCAGTCACCACTTCACGGGCCTGCTGCACGGATATCTTATTCAGATTTTATTATTACACTTCATTTTCCAGTAGTAGCCAATGTGCATGAGCGATGATAATCCCTGGTATGTCGAATAGGTAGGTACAACACCGGCACACAAGGTATACACCCAGTTACATCACGTCTGGTGTGTATCGCGCGCCTTTAAACTTATTAGCAGTGGCTTAGCTCGGCTATGCCAGGATATAAGTAGCGTGAGCTATGAAGGAACGGCCGTATAGACGACCACATATGGGTGGAGAGACGGACGGACGACCACAGAGGGACGGACTAGCGAGCGAGCGATCTCACGCAAGGGACGCGGCAGGACACTAATATAAGGACATGTCATTCGAGATTCTTCCAGATCTTCAGTGCGCCAGCTGTGCGCCGTGTGAAGTCATTGCTTCTCGCACTTGCGAAGAACTTCTCACCGTAAGCCACACGAAACTGCTGAAACTCGGCCAGGGTATACCTTAAATTGCAACGCTGTGAGCCATATCAGTCGCTAGCACATGAGACCAATTAGACAGTAACCTTTCCGTGTAACAGCCGGCAGTCATCCCCGGCAGTACTGGTGCACCCGCTCCAAAACTGCGTGACGTGAGCTGTAGTACGCTGTAGTTATGTGGGAGGTGTATTAATGTATGAGATAGTGGCCAACTACTGACCAGGGTGGCCAATCCTGCTCTGATGAGGGAGGACAATACCGGCTCTGGTCGCCAGCGAGGCCGCACCCCAGGTCTTTCTTTTTTATGGGATTCGATCATCACACACATATATACTTTTAAATGCGGCTTGGAATCGTTCGGCACCGAGATTTGAACCACGAAAATCTTGTATGCGAGGCTAATGTTCCACCTCTACGCCATCGCTGCGCTATCACTGCGCATCCCTCTAAGCTATCACTGCTTCTAAGCAAATGAGATTATTTCACACAGTTTGAAGACAAACGACAACAATGCGAGGGCGTGTGTTCACCCAAGTTCAATGTATTACCGCGGAAGAACAAGCTTAGCTCTATAAATGTATACAACTGCCTGAAAAAAAGACGGGGGGGGGGGGGCGGAATTGATACTGTCGTTTTTTAAAAGATTCTTGTCACTTTCCCGTTTAAGTCTTATCTAGTATATCGATACCCCTCAGCGGCCAGCTCTCTCTCTCTCTCTCTCTCTCTCTCTCTCTATATATATATATATATATATATATATATATATATATGTATATATATATATTTATATATATATATATATATATATATATATATATATATATATATATATATATATATATATATATAATGAAATAAAACAGACAGTAATGCCAAGGAATGTACAGGGGAAGTTATTAAACCTATGGAATGTAAAAAACGAGCCCTTAAGTATACACTTCTTCCCCTTATATATATATATATATATATATATATATATATATATATATATATATATATATATATATATATATATATATATATATATAGAAACTCGGCTTCCGATGTCCTGAAAATGACCGACGTATGTAACTGCGCGGTAGTAAACACGGACGACAAGAAGATACAAGGACAAGCGCAGACTATCAACTGAAGGTTTATTTTTCACAAACCACATATATATGACTGAAACAGAAACAGAAAACACGAAAATCTACAAAAAATGATGACTTAGTACTTAACAATCGACAAAACGTGAACGTTTGAGAAAAGGAGATTCAAGGACCATGTGCGCCACTTGCCAGATACCGTAGCTCTTTATCTAAAAGAGCTAACGACGGTTTGCTGACGCAGTGTTCTGGTTCCCGTGCCATTTTTTCCGCTTCGACAATCATACGGGTATGATCGTCTTTGTGCCTGAACATTACGACCGTGCTTTCGAACTGCGCAAATCAAGTTGAGCGTCTGAAAGAAGCTGGCTACCCGGATTCGCTTCTCATTTCTGTGGCAGAAACAATAAAAAAGAAGAAAAAGCCCAGAAGCAGAGAGAGCACTAATGACAGAGACAAAAGCAAACGTGACAAAGTCGCGGTAATCCCTTACAAGCACCAGCTATCTCACAAGATAAAAAAGCTCGGACAGCGCATGGGCGTAAAGGTCGTTTTTTCGGCACCTTACAAGCTCTCTCAGCTAGCCAAAATGACATGTGTAAACAATAGGCCCAAACAAGCTTGCACTGTCAGGCATAAAACCCAGTTTGTCAGATGTGACATGAATGTAGTTTATAGAATTCCGCTATCTTGTGGTGCGTGTTACATCGGGCAGACTGGGAGATGCCTAAATGAGCGCCTGCGCGAGCACGCACGCAATGTGCGCACTGGCAATGAAGGTTTTTTAGCTCAGCACGTCAGTAGGTGTGGCTGCCTTGCGCAGTTCGAAAGCATGGTCGTAATGTTCAGGCACAAAGACGATCATACCCGTATGATTGTCGAAGCGGAAAAAATGGCACGGGAACCAGAACACTGCGTCAGCAAACCGTCGTTAGCTCTTTTAGATAAAGAGCTACGGTATCTGGCAAGTGGCGCACATGGTCCTTGAATCTGCTTTTCTCAAACGTTCACGTTTTGTCGATTGTTAAGTACTAAGTCATCATTTTTTGTAGATTTTCGTGTTTTCTGTTTCTGTTTCAGTCATATATATGTGGTTTGTGAAAAATAAACCTTCAGTTGATAGTCTGCGCTTGTCCTTGTATCTTCTTGTCGTCCGTGTTTACTACCGCGCAGTTACATACGTCGATCATGAATCACCAACTCGCCCAATCGTCCACCTGAAAATGACGTTTTTTTCGGGATTGCACTATCATAAATGATACCATATCCTGTCGAAACTTGAGACCTCACTTCGTTAAAACCGCTGAGGGGATATGGTGGTCAATAAAGAAAGAGAGAGAGAGAGAGAGAGAGAGATTTCTCTCGATTATTTAGAGGCAGCTGTTTGGAGGCATATATTGATTATATAACAATATTTTCTCAACTTCTGCGGCACGACACTTCATCTTTTATATAAAAATAAAAAAATATGCTGAGCGTAATTTGGAGCCTTTTGGCTTCGGCGCCGTTTTTTTTTTCGGTCAGCGTTCGGAGAACTTTACACAGCACAAGCAAAAAGTTCCTCGCGGGACGGCAGTATAGGCAGCATAAAGCGCCGAACTTTAGGCACTTCATCAAGCTCTGCTTTTGTTACGGAGGCTGCAACAAACTCCGTTACGCCATTTTCATTTCGTATTGTCCCCTCTATGTTTTTAATATAAAGCGTGTCGTAATTAGATAGAGTTCTTTAACTTTTTTTCTTATTTGTCGTACTTAAACCCAACACCAGCGACTCAAAGCGTCTCTTCTGGCCACTTTGGTCGAGCGGTGTATGCGGGCATATATTGGCGTCAACAAAGTGAGCTTCGGTCAGAGGGCAGCTTGATTGATCGCCTCGAAACTTTGGTCTGCATAGAGGGACAATTTATGGGCACGAGACGGAGCAATAACCAAGACGTTGAAGAGGGGAGGCCACACGCTGCGTGATGAATAGAAAATGCCGGGCAACGCTTAATGGCTCATTTGCCACGCCGAACGACGCTGTAGCGAAAATAAAGCATAAAAACAAGCTGCGTGGCGTTTCGGTCACCCAAGATGTCGAGTAACGACCGCGGCTTTAAACTATAGGGCCCGAGGTTATAGTGTTTCCAAGCCCTACACCTATAGAGGGCAATCAGGCGCAAGACGTTGCGCCGGTTCACACCCAACCAAGTGATTTTTACAGGAAGCGTTCTCGTTTAGTGTATCCCTTTAATTGCTACCATGTGTCTAACCATTCAGGTGCCAAGCAGTGTTGTACACGTTCCTGCGAAAAAAGGAACGAAAGCTCGTTCCTCGTTCCGAAATCTCGGTACGTTACGCGTACCGCTTACCGTACGCGCGGTATTTTTCAGATTTAAGGTAGCGTAGGTGCACGTAGTCTACGTAAACATGGCGGCGCTCTCGGACGCCCGCTTCGAAGTGATTTTGGCGTAGTTGTTGAAAGATTCACCTTGTTCGCAGCAAACGACTGTTCAAAGTGGCTTCGCTTGCCTTCAGTTAGCTCCGATGACTGAGTATTACGGATAAGTTGCCGTAGTTTTTGAGATAGCTTTTCATTTCGAACGCGCTTATCGGCCTAACTACAAGATCAGTCTAAACAGATCGGCAACGTAGATGCTTTCGCGTTTTGTACGTGGTTCATATTTATATACTTTTATTATCACAAAAATAAACTTCTAACGATTCTTCGCGCGGTGGCATAGGCAAACATTCTCGTTTTCTTTTCATTTTCACTGTTTAACTTATTAACTATCTAATATGTGGCGCCACCATCCCAGTTGGGGTAGGGTTCCTCGATGCGCGTTCTCCCCTCCGCCGCCTTGGAGGGTGGAGTCATTCTGTGAGGGGGTGAATGCCGCCTTCCGATCGGCGGCCGCCATTCGGCTCCCCCCCGCCTCGCTAGAGTGTGCTAGCCCCGTCGCGTCTGGTTTGTGTGAGACAGGTGCGCGGCGTTTTATAGCGTTTTCTCGGGCAAAATGCCCGGGTGTGCGTGCCACAGTGCACAAACCACTCGCGAAATGGCTATAGGATGTTCAGATTTCCGAAAGATCCGAAAAGGCGACTCCTGTGGCTGGTAAAGATCAAGCGCGACAAGTGGCAACCCACGGACCGTTCGTGTTTGTGCAGCGTAAGTTATGCCATTTCAGCATTTTTGATCGCGATCGAGCCTGATGTGATTGACTCCCTTATACGCAAGCTGCAGAAGGACTGTAGTCGATGAGGGTTGCAACGTGGGCTTGTTGGTTACTCATGTGAAAGGCTTTTGGTGCAGAAGGACGCCAATGACTGTTCAGAAATCTGACCCCGATCGGGCTTAATCGCTATCACCAGTGCACCGGGTGCAATACTCGTTCATTTGCATGCTATGTACATGCGTATTGTTCATTTTGGATAGCACAAAATGCGTTGTTCTTGATCGCTTGTTGTACACAAGCTGCAATTGCGCAGAGATGTGCGCCTACGTTGTCGCTTGTTGCTACCGGCGCCTTCAACAATTTGTTTTTGTAACATCACATTGAAAGCACGCATCCCGTCAGTTCATTATCAAAGAATATTTTCTCACTGTCCCTGTTTTTTCGGAAAGAAATTGACAATTTTCCCTTCTTTATTATTAACTCCAACTACAACAGCCCCTAAAATTCCCTTATCACTCTTTACGCATGTCCCTGAAAGTGTTGGCTGTTGTGGTCTGCTTAGAAGGTTTTTGTGAAGATCTTTGAGACCTGATCATCGCGTGTTTCCGCGCTGCAGGGACATTTCGAAGAAACCGCATTTGAGCAGAACCGTGCGGACGGCTGGAAAAAATTGAAGCCGAATGCTCTGCCAACAATCTTTTCGTTCAGAGGTAGGAATCCACTTATTTTCGCGTTAACGGAAGTTTGCGAGTTTGCTTCCTAATTTTGTTCCTTGTTCCAATCTTAGTCAGTTCCACGTTTAGCACTGTTATTGCCGGCCTTCTTAAGAGTCACATGGAGGGTCTAACCAGGTGTTTCTTTAAAAACAGAAAAAATGCACATTACAGAAAAACGCTCTTAATACCTTCGGTCAATGAAATCGCTCGTTTCCTCCATTTTTATCGAGAGGTGAATTAACCGCACCTGCCATCCAGAAGCAGGATAATGACAACTTCGCACTTTGTTTATTTTTATTTCTATGCGTAGCGACGCTCAGAGCATGTTCGTTCATAATGATAAAAGAATCTGCCAGCTGATATGCAACATATGTGTGTTTTTTTTTTAGCGATGCCTAAGCACAGGAAGCCACCAAAAGAAAGGTTTTTACCACAAGGGACGCCTGCAGCCGCAGAAGAAAGTTGTTCTCTGCACAGTCAACCCCATGCTTCTGATACCTCAGCGACAGAAATTCAAGAACAACATGTCAACGACATAGCTGGTATGCAACAAACAGCAAATCAAGAATCGCAGCCAAGAATTGCGCATCTTTAACCAGTATAAATAGTTACCGACTAGCCCAAGAAGATGCTAACTGAAGATGTTAACTTGGCTGGCGTGGGCGGTAGTATTCTGCTGCGAACAACTCCAGCTGCTAATGTCGCTTTAAAAATAAAGATTAGAGAATAGAAATCTGAGACCTTGACACTCCCGATGCGAAAACTTTGTATTTTTGTCATGTTGTTTGAGTACCACTCGTTTTGACACAACGAACTCTACATGCAGCCGCGCGACGCCCGTTGGCTGCCTATCGTGGCTATAGGTGGCCTGCGGAGAGGGCATCCTAATGGCGGACGCCGTAGCAGACGACGCTGTTGTCTCCACCCTGCAAGGGGGAGCGCGCGCGCATCGAGGAACCCTAAGTTGGGGGCACGTAAACCACGTAAGTGCTATTTCGCTAAACTATAAGACGCTGCCTACAACGAACGTTTGCTGCACGATAGCGCCGTTTCCTTAACCTACGCTATCACGCTAACGCTAAACTATAACTGTCTATTAACGTTAAATTTAATTTTTTGATCAAAACATAATGCTGGATAATCTCGAGGCCCCTCCCCCCCCCCCAAAAAAAAGTGAGAAATTTTGTGTTCATTTTTCGCTACGTATACATTTACAAATTTACAAACATCCACGCTGGCAGGTTATATGTATACGTAGAAAGAGTGTGAGGAAATGATCCCAGACAAACTTTTTAGCGCCCACAAGACGTATACGTGTAAATGCAACTTTAGTGCTCGTCTATTACAGTGTAACACATATGGCACTTTGTACATAAGTATTTAAATGTGCAGTCAGAATACGTCATGCACTTCAGATATTAACACGATATATAGCGTTGAAGAGCTAGCATGACCGAAATACTGGTGTCGGCGTTGTTGACTGTGCGCGAAAAAATAGGGTTGTTCAGACTGAAGTGACGCTGGCAACATGATGAGGTGACACATGTGGAGCCCGATTACGCTATCGCGTTCTTGAAGGCGAAGCTCAAGCGTCATCCCAGTTATATTCAAATAGAAATTACCAGCCATGCCGACGTGTTTCATGTAGAGAAAAGCGCATAACGAGAGGAACAATACGTTGGCGTTTAATGAGTGCTGATTCAAATTTCAATTTGAGTATATGAAATAATGTCCAAGATTCAAGTCCCTTCTTCACACTTGGCAAGAGCTGTGCCATGCTGTACACAAATGAGAACAATTTAAATCGAAGTAGTAGGGGTAAGGGTGGGTTCGACGAGAATGTGTCGCTGGATGTACGTGCATTGTTTATTGCATCGCAGTCGTTATTGGTGCGGTGGCCGTTGTAACGAAAGGTAATGAGAATTATAGACCGATAGCAAACGGAGATAACTGACCTGTTAAACAGATGCCTGGCCAAACGCAACCGTTGCATGAAGGCACCGAACAGGCACCACTGCGACACCCGCTTCCATTGCATTTCGGCCCTCTTCTCTACCGTCCACGCCCCCAGGTGTGAAAAGACTGATTTGTGGATAGCTGTCGGCGGCATGCACGAGAAATTAAAAGGACGGTTGAGCCATGCAGTAGCCAAAGACCACTCAACGAGAAAAACGCCCCCCGGAACTAAGTCGAGGCTTTGCAGTCGGTGAGCGCGTTAACATAAAACATACATGTACAGTGCGCGCAGCAAGCTTGGGGGCTCACTTCCAAGGGATAGAATTCCGAAGTGCAGCTCTTGCCACCGTTACGTGTGGGCCCAAACCATTCATGCCCAGTGGGAAGTAACTGCGAGAGATTACGGTGGTTATCACATCGGGGCTTTACTCACTTTCTGTGCCTCAACAGTTTTGGTTGGTCATTCTGTCCTATGCGCGACAATCATTCGCACCTTCCGAAGGCATCATGGAATCACACGCAGGTGCCTCGACTACGCCGACAAGGTCATATGAACGCGTTGCAAAACCACCAGAATACGTAAACACACACACACACACACACACACACACGCACACACACACACACACGCACACACACACACGCACACACACGCACGCACGCACACACGCACACGCACGCACACACACGCACACACGCACACACACACAGTGATTCCCGTTCGTACAGTTCCCACTTCTGTTTGTTTACACACCAACATTGGCGTTGACGTTTGAGGTGATCACGCATAGGTTTCCCTCGCACGAGTAGAATATCGTTGAAGAGATTCAAAAGCTCGGTGTGCGACACGCGCAGTGCTTTTTTATGTGCTTTATCGACTTCCTGCTCGTATACGGCAGTTGGGATACGCGTCTTCTGCAGCCAGTTCCGTCAGGTTGTTTACCCTGTCAAATCAAGCGACCAAGCGCGGAAAAAGTGCACGTGCGAGCACCTGTTGTGCTTTTGTCAAAACGATGGCGTTCTTTCTTGCGCGGCAAACGCAATCACATGCGTTCGAAGCGTTTTTTAATTATTTAAACTTAATTATTGCGATTACTTACTGCTTATTTTTTCCAATTATATTATTTTAGACCTTCTTCGTTCATTTTAATCCGGTTTGAGCGTCTCTAGCTTTTACGTGGCCTGTATTGAGCGCTTTATTGCGAGCGTGATCATATAGCACATCAGATGCATGAATAGACCCAACCCGGGTCCCTAAAGTGCTTCCCACTTAAGAAGCAACAGCATCATATGCATGCACTTGTATGGCTGCTGCACACGTCAAGGGCGACCTATTTTCTTCCCATCCGGCTCTCTGGCGGCCAGAGCTTCCGGGACCAGCGTGTACACACTACTTGCCTAGTAAGCGACGACAGCGGCCAATGCAGCTTCTTCCTCTTCCTCTTCCGTTTCGGAAGGAGTCGGATTCACTGGTCGTTCCGCGGCATCCCGCGGGTGTCGTTATTATAGCTGCCTATAGCCCGTCGCATGCTCGTGGCATCGCGAGTGGCCTGGATGACCCTTTCTGTTGCCCAGAGGTGCACCAAATGTCGAAAGTGAGATTTCGTCCGTAGAGAGGCACCACAACTGTCAAACTTGTGAGAGATGGTTCGTTTACGTTGGGTTTTCTTGATTGGTTATTAAACAATGAAAAATATATATGGTTTTTGGACGGTAAACCCTGCATATCAATCAAGATATATATATATATATATATATATATATATATATATATATATATATATATATATATATATATATATATATATACATATATATGTATATATATATATATATATATATATATATATATATATATATATATATATATATATATATATATATATATATATATATATATATATATATATATATATGTTGTCACGATGCAGACACAGCAGGAGTCCGATATAGAAGAGCTCACTTTAATTAAAATGAAAGGCACTCATAAAGAGGACCAGGCAAGAGCTTCGTCTTCCTTTTTGGCTGCGCGAGCTCTCCTCTGCAGGTTGAATGCGGCATTTGCCTCCCTCCAGGAAGAGCATCGACCCGATGCTCGGCTACAGATACGCGGTGTATGTAGTTGACGTATTACGCAACTGGCTCACTGCAATATGGCTTCATCCACACAACGTGTACGATTTCAGATTTTTGAGCTCGCGAGAAACTGCCAGGGATGACCTCCTAATTCACGTCACTTAGGCGCCGTACAACATTGTAGGGACCAAAGTACTTCTTCAGTAACTTTTCAGAAAGGCCGCGTCGGCGAATAGGGCTCCAGACCCACACTTTCTCGCCTGGTTGCTAAGTGACGTATCGGTGTCGCAGGTTATAACGTTGTGCGTCGTAACTCTGCTGTCGGGCGATTCGCACGCGTGCTAGCTGCCGTGCCTCTTCAGCTCGTTGGGTAAAGGCTTGAACATCCATGTCTGTATCGTCGCAGTTGTGCAGCAACATGGCATCAAGCACTGTCGTCACTTCACGGCCATAAAGAAGACTAAACGGCGTGCTCCGTGTAGTTTCCTGCTGCGCCGTATTATAGGCAAACGTCACGTATGGTAGAACGTCGTCCCAATTTTTATGATCCACGTCGATGTACATACTGAGCATATCAGCAATTGTCTTGCTGAGGCGTTCTGTTAAGCCGTTGGTTTGTGGGTGGTAGGAGGTAGTTTTTCGATGCGCTGTTCCACTCAACTCAAGCACTGACTTGAGGAGCATGGCCGTGAAAGCGGTACCTCTGTCCGTTATTATAATTCTAGGAGCACCATGCCTCAGAACGATATTTTCAATGAAAAATCGTGCCGCTTCTACTGCGGTTCCACTCGATAAAGCCTTTGTTTCTGCGTAGCGAGTAAGATAGTCCGTAGCGACAATTACCCACTTGTTTCCAGTATGCGAAGTCCGAAATGGTCCAAGGAGATCCATTCCGATTTATGCAAAAGGCATGGTGGGCACTTGAACTGGTTGCAACAATCCGGCTGGTTTTAAAGGTGTCGATTTTCGTCGTTGACAATCGAAGCACGTGCAGACGTAATGCTTTACAGTGCCTGGAAGCTTCGGCCAGTAGTACTTCTGTTAGATTCTGGCCAATGTGCGCGTTTATCCGAGGTGGCCGCAGGTTGGCTCATCGTGGCAAGCGCTCAGGATCTCATCGCGAATGGATGTCGGGACGACCAGTAAGTGGGCATTTCCGCTGGGGGCAAAGTTCTTCTTGTATAGGACACCACTGCCCAAGCAGAATGATGGCAGGCTCCTTGCAAATATCTTGGGAACGCTTGTAGACTGGCCGTTAAGAAAATTAATAAGAGAAAGCAACTCACTGTCTTCTTTCTGCTTAGACGAAATGGTGACTGTGTCGACCACTCCTAAATATGCCATGTCATCATCTTCTGAGACATCGTCTTGCTTTATAGGCGACCTTAATAAGCAATCAGCATCGGATTGCTGC